AATATGAGAGATTTGCGAAATGGGTCGTTGACCGGCGGTTCTCGATCCTAACAGTCAGCCATTCTTAAAGACTTTTTAACTACATGTATATTGTATACATCAAGTAGTATGATAAATGTTGTTTGCTTTTGTTTGTCTTTGTAGGCATGTATGAAGTCCTTCCTACAGAGCCACTACACAACGTAAAGGAGCACATTTCCAATGTTGTCTCTGAAATCACTGCCCACCTCTCTGATGCTGAAAAATGTCGGTGTGAGCAGATGTTGGAGTTAGTGTCAGGAACAAAAGAACAACTTCGAGGCTCAGACTACCGAGAGATGGCTATAGTGCTTGCCAAACAACTACGAGGTTAGAAATGAAGATACCATCATGGTATTTTGGGGTTTTTTACTTTACATAAGTTAAAAAATATTATCAATACTCAAGACCTGTGATCAACAAAAATGTCAATTAAAAGTACATAATAAATTCTGTGTTCCTTTCATCAGATTGTGACAAAAATAATTATTGTACCTCATTGAATTCAATTTGACCATTGTTTAGTAGAAAAATGTATAAATCCAGTAATATTACACAAATTTAATACACTGTATGATTTTCATTGACTTGTTATTGTTATCATTATGCGTCAAAGTTAGAAACTTACTTTTTTTAAATTAGCGCATAGCATGCCAGTCTTAATATAATAATATGTTCTTTAAATGTATTAAATTTAAATAGTACATTTTGCTTATATTTTTACCATAGTCTTTATCTTACATGGTAAAGCGCTTTAGAATATTTTTAATTAAAGCACTATGTAAATCTAATTTTATTATTATCTTATTATTCATCAAATTTCCTTTATTTGCAACAGGCGTTGTGGGTGACAAGGTGCAGACCCTTCTGGACACAGTGACAGAAATATCCAGCATCCTGTATGCCAAACCAGAAGAGCGCTGTCCAAGAAGTATTCTACGACTTCACAATCAGACCTTTCTTCATGCCATTGCTTGTGAAGAAGTCATTGGGAAGCCTCAGCTTCTCACTGAGAAAAAGTTTTATGGGCAGTACCTACACTCTTTGATCGTGCATGCTCCCATCCAACATCGTATCATCTGCTCAAGGTCAACCAACACTGAGCAGCAAGAACGCCACTTCAACACCTTGTCAAGCATATCCACTGCAACATCAAGTAGAAGACCTGGTGAGATCATCACCCCTGGCATCATAAGGATAGAAGCAGAAATGAAGTCTGAGGAGAACAAGCAGAGAGATACCGTGAAGGAGCAAGAGTCCAAACTGGGGAAGTTGGCAAGCTGCTTGCCTCGAGCAGAAAATACCATCATCCCACACAGATTGCTCTTGAAATACCCAAAGGCATATCAAGCACACCTTGAAAGGATTGCTGATTTCCTCATCTGTGGTGAAGGCATATGGTGGAGGCATATTGTCAGTGGTGTTGAATTTTTGGATGGCCCTGGTGAAAGGAAGAGCAATGATAATGGTCCACCTCTTCATCATTTCCGTACACACACACTCAAGTCAGAAGATCAGTACTTAAAAGCCTGCTGGAAAGAATGCACAACACGCCTAGACTCCATCCCTCATCATACAGTGAGAATTTATGATGAAGATGGCAATCTGGAATCAGTACAGCATACAAGGTTTTTAGAAGATGCAAGTGATGATGGTAATGAAGATGATGATGATCCAAGTGACCGCAATTATGATGGCTTAGAAGAGCAAAACCATTACATTGCTGACATAATTCAACATGAGGATGAAGAGGAAGTTGAGAACATTGTTGATCTTCAACAAGTGGGAGAAGACCTAACTGAATGTACTTTGAATTACTGTGAAGAAATCCCCCTAGCTGAAGGCAGTTTGTTGACACAAAGGACTGAAAGTGAGGCAGTAAATGAGCTATATGAAGCAACCCCACCTGAAACTCCTGCGGAGGTCACTGCTGAACTGAAGACAACCCTGGCAAAAAATGTGTCAAAGGTGTTGGGTAAAACCAATGAAGTGAGAAAGTTAGACAAATTGCGCACTATGCTAAGGAACAATCTAACAAGCAAGCAAGCACAAGATAACTATGAAGCTTCACTAGCAGTTGTGCAAACTCAGGTGCTTGCAAAGCATTCAAGGGTGAAACAACAGTTTAAGGAGTGGGAACAGAATTTTTTTGCAGAGCACGACTATGATGAACCGAACCTTGATGACATACGCAATGACAGGAGAGGGTATGATTTTTATAAAACCTTAAGACTTTGTAAACAGCTTTTACAACACTGGGACATAATATTACACCAGTAAATTTAATGATAGAAATAATAATTTTGTTGCAGCAAATTTTTGTTAGTGTGAATCAAAAACATTTTTTTGAAATATTACGCTCATTTGTGATTGAAGCTTACGTATTACTAAGCCAGGGATGGACATGAGTAATATGCATTCGTAGTTGTGTTCGACACTGACTCTAAAACGTTAAAACAATGTTTATAGCTACTTATAACAAACTATAATACCTGTACACGTGGAAAAAGTATAAACTATCCTTACCTCAGCTCATAGTGGTTACTCACAGGGAACTTGAATAAACAGGATTCACATATTATAGGCTGTTGTTCGAGTAATGTTCTCTCTCAGCAGCAATTTGCGCGTAGCATTTAATACGTGTTGCTAGGCAATTCCTGACCACGCATCCAGGAATGGCTTCTTCCGCTGCGTATTTGTACTGCGGACTCATTTTTCTTTCTGCCATCAGCTTTTGTGCACAGCGGTTATGGGAATAAATAAGCGGCAATTTTGCGGGTTTTCAGCGGGAAAGGCTCCCAATTCGTAAAATCATGCCACGACATAGTCGCGAAAATACAATTGAAGAAAAACGGAGGATGAGGAGCAAAAGAAACAAAAGGAAACGGCTTTTAAGGGCGGAGAAGCAAAGGAAAACCAAAGAAATTATTCGACAAAAGGAAAGGGCAGCATATACACGAGCGAGAGAATTGGCCCGCACATATCATGGTAAATGGAAGCTACTAGCCGAACAAAACAAAACCAAAGCTCTAGACAAAACCAAAGTAGGTTTATTTTTACGTAAGAATTAATTAATTATCTAGGCTTCCAAGAACAGCTATTGGCTAAGCGACAGAATTAATTCTAGCAAAAACATGAAAACAAGCAACCTAAACAAGGCATTCATACATGAACTCTGAAATTCAATTTATACATGATATTCGTTTCAAGGTAATGAGAACAGTCTCCTAAGCAATTTTCAGAGTTTCTTATATGAAGATTTTCCTATTCATTATAAAGGTCCGATGTGATAAAACCAGCAGTTTATGAACATTAAGCAGAAGTATGTTTTGTAGCATCTTTCAATATAATTTACCTTGAATTTATTACCTAGACAAATAGTTAACTTTGTCAGTAGGGGAAAAATGTTCATGAGCAATGCGAAAGTCTATTCCATCTGGAGGAGGAGTGATGTTTCTAGTTACTTTGCAGTAATTTGCATGCCAGACAAGAGATCAACAACCTTCACCTTTACTTGCATTTATTTAAGCATAATTTCTCAATAATATATTTGCCTTCATTTTCCAGCTTTTTAAGAGGGATGCAAATACCAAATATTCCACTGTAAACTTAATCAATCATACTGAACTCCTTCCAACCAGTGGAGAAAATATAATACTGGGAGAAGGATCCTATGGTCGATGCCTTCTGAGACAGTACACACGATTTGATTTAAAGGTTGTGGAAAAACAGTCTCTGATGCAGGATACCACAGAGATAATGAAGGAGGCTCACATTATGCAGGCACTTGCACATAAAAATATCCCAACCATAATAGGTGTGCAGCTTCAAAAGCAGCCCATATCCTTAATTATGGAGTTTAAAGGGGAAGACAATACATCTGTGACAATAAGCAAACTATTGTCCTGTCAAAAAAACAATGAAATGCTACAGAATGTGCAAAGCTCACTGATAACAAATGACTGGTTAATTATTTCACATGACTTAACAGAAGCCCTTTCACATATTTACACAAAAGGCTTTCTTCACTGTGATTTAAAGGCTAATAATGTTCTTGTGAGTAACAAACATGGTTACATCATCGATTTTGGAAAAGCATGTGACAGCTCCTTTCCTCCTGCAAAAAAGTACAGCATCTGCTATCCCCATATTGCTCCCGAGGTTCTTAATGGTTCTCCCTGTAGCAAAGCCAGTGATATTTTTTCCCTTGGTACAGTTCTGTTCAAAGTAGGTGTTAAGCAAAACATTCCACTTTTGGTTTCCATGGCTCAAAAATGTTTGGATGCCAGCCCTGCAAGAAGACCAACAACAACAGGCATTATGGCAACACTGGCTTCCATAATATCTCACTGAATAATATAAGTTTAAGCAGAGGTTTCACGGGCCTGACACTGGGCAAATTGACGGGCTATGAACATAATTTTTCCTGCCTGTTGTGACTGACATAAATCAGAATCGAAACATTTTTCACCTGCTTCCTTGTACATTTCCCATCACCTCAAAATCTTAATGAAACCTCTGCTTAAGAAAGTAATAATTAAAACTTTAATCAGGTAAAGCAACCCCAGCCATGTCGCAGCAAGAGTCTTTCTCTTGGGCTTTGCAAGGTTAAAACTGCAAATGTATGTGCATGTCTTTCGCACATTTGTGTGTGCCCTTGGTTTAAACTAATTTTGTACTTCTTCTTTACGAATTGTAAATGAATGTTAAAGGGAGATTTTTAATAATGCACTGATAAGGTGCTCTAGGGTCCATCAGGTACAGATTACTTCATAGGTCATACCATACTCATGTAGCTATAATTTTACATGACTGCTAGTTAACATACATGCACCGATTTATTTCCCAATTCCTACCAGTAATTGATCTATGAAATTGAATTTAGGCAAGCAACTGGCAGATCAAACTTGAAATGATAAACCATAGCCTTCCAACAGGAATATTGACTTAAAAGAGCACCAAAAAAGCAAGAAATAAAATTAAGTCTAAGCATAGATATTTCCTTTCTGACTTTGTAACAAGGGCAACCTATCCTACTCTTAAGATGGCACATCCTTTATAAATAGGGCTGAGAAGATGACACATCTTTCACCAGTTTGTGTTTGCTCTTGTCACAAAAAAAAAGTGCCCCACTTGGCGGAAAACAACAGTAAGTACTGGTAATTAATCATGTCTCATCAAGAAAGAGAGAAGGCTTTGGTCAGAATCACATGCACATATCAGAACTTTTGTGATGCATTTGAATTACGAGAAACTCCACTGGTGTAGTGGGTAGAATATTTACAATTCAAATAAACACATTTATCTATTACAAGTACATCATTGGCAAGGATTCTTTCAATTATTACTGGTCAGAACTTAAAGACCAAACTGTTGATTACAATTAAAACAGTGATATAACATGATTTAAAAACAAAACAAAAATGCCTCATAAATAACACTTAACATTATTGTAATAAATTAGTTGTGTGGAATAATTGGAAGGACCTTTTCAAGAAAACAAATTGGAATAACAGTAAATAAAACTGGTTTTGATCTGGTGGATTCCCTTTGGAATCTGCAAGGGCTGGCTGGTTTTCTGTGTGAGTAATTAAAATTATTATATATTTATAGCAACTCAGTAAGTGACCTCGGTATAAACTAACACACATTAGTACAGCTTTTTTCTCTTAGTTTTCAAGGGACAATTTATGACAAGACAACAATCTGCATCTTACATGTCAGTAATTTAACTCACCTAACAACTGCTTTGGGGGATTACTTTTGATAGTAAATTCATCTGCTTCTTTGAGGAATTGTTTCCAAAGCATTCAAAACCCTGAATTTTGACAAACACCATAAGTTCACATATCATGATATTTAGATTAGCTACATGGTGATCTGTCTCGTATGGAGTGTTCCACTCTTTTACAGATTATCCCTATGGCTTTGCCTGTTTGTGTATGCCTTTTTGACTTAGATTTAATTGCCATTAAATTGTAATAAATAAATAAATCGAAGATTCATCAAGCTAAATTTAATTTCAAAATAGTATGGCACATCCACAATGAAACGTTTTTCTATGCATTTGTTACAAAACATTGTAAAGCGCCATTGAGCTCTGGAAATGAGCGTCATATAAATTCATGTATTGTATTTGCAATGAAGTCAATGAACAAGTTGAGTGGTGCGTTCGAAGTCTTCGTAGGTTCAAAACGGTTCTCTTTGGCCTTAAAATAGCGATATCATGCCATTTTTTTTACGTAATGAAGATAGCAAAGAAAATGTTATTACCTTCTTTCGGTGTCTTCCTCTACATTGTCGGATTCACCAGCGAAGACGGCAAAAACCAATGCAAAGCCGACACTTCAAAATGGCGGAAGCCGTTCACGAAATACGCGATCTTGATCCCAAGTAACTATGGTTACTCGCGTAGTCCACGCATATTCCGCGAACCCTGCTGGGGGGGCACTGGAGGCGAAAATCATTTTTGACCCAGGCCTTAATTAACCTGAGAGTATCATTAAAGTACATGCCATGGTGTTACAGTTACTATGCCTGTTATTTGCTGTGGCTTTGAGCTTTGAAATCTCACGTGACCTCTGATTGTATGCAAATGCGAGGTAGAATTGAAAAATTAAACGAGACTTACCTGGAAGTTGAAGTTTGATTGAAATTCTACTGTGGCATTTGCAGGAATGAGGAGGTCACATCCCACCCATCCCATGGGCCCTTACGCTCTTCATAGTGACCTGTTTTCCTGTACCATCAAAGCCACACCAAACTGCTTTCAAGACTGAGCCCGGATATCACATGCTTACTATCTCACGTGACCTCATTCCTGCAAATGCCATGGTAGAATTTCAATCAAACTTCAACTTCCAGGTAAGTCTCGTTTAATTTTCCAATTTTCTACTAATGTGTATTGCGTGACATTTTAAATAGCATAAATGGACCGAAATTAATTAATTAAAAGAGATTCAAAGAAACTTACAACATAGTCTTGATGTCAATTTATTTAGCTTTAAAAGGACATATAGCATAACAAAATTGGTTGAATACAATATGAGCTGGTTATTTTTTACCAAAACATATCAAAATAGCCATTTTTAGGGGGTGTCACCAAAGGGTTAACATTTCTCAAGCACAAGTTGTCTACTCTCATGCTACCTTGAACCTTTCCAGGAATGTAGTGTATCGAAGAGAAGAGCAAATGAAAACAAAGAGAGAACAGGAAATTCAACAACAGTCTCCAGGGATGCTGAGGTAATTGTGACCCCTTTTAGGGTTATTGCACTTTAATAATTGAGTCAATTTGGTATGTAGGTAAAATTCATAATATTAATTAAGTTTCCTTTTTTTCCCTTTCTATTTTGAATTAGGTCAAAGAGGGCATTAGCCTCCTTATTGAGAATGTTTCCTATGTGGTCACCTGGTAGTACTTGCGAGGTATGCAAGACAAAAGTCAGTGGCATAAAGAACTTTGACTAAAAACCCACNATGTTTTCTTCATTTGGACAGGAGGACAACCAATTCCTAGAAAACACTGATGTTTCATGGCCGCTTGAAAGTAAAGACATGGAAACTTTTCCAATGGTAATGTGCTATTCATTGGTTCCAAAACAACTATCATGCATGGTGTTCTTATCCTTTTGTGTCAACTCGAGTTGATCCTGCTATGCATATTTCTCTTGCAACTCTTAGGATACAGATATACAAAGAGAAGACGAGGATGATGAGGAAAATAATCTGCCTTTGGGAATAGTCTGAAAGGTATGTCAAACATCACAAAGAAAAACCGGCAAATGTTTAATTCCTTCCTTTAACACTTTCTTATTTTAAATTTCAAACAGAAAATGAGAAGCCATTTGGAACATGGAAGCCACACAACGGTTTGCCAAATAAAAGAGGTATTTCTCATTTATTTCAGTAACTGCAGGAAACAACCAGTTATTATAAACGTTGAAACTAGTAACAATTCAAAACTGTTAAAAAACCCGGTTTATGTACATTTTCTGACTACCATAAAAAAATTGTGCTTTTGTGCATTCTATTCTGCAGGAGCACTCTGAAAAGAAAGAGGACTGGGTAGCGGTAGGCTACTCCCACGATTTAAAGTACATAGGGAAAGTTGGGAGTGAGGAGGAAACCACACTAATGGTCAGGTTCCTGGAACGAGAGATGGAACGTATGAAATTAAAAAGAATGCCAAGCAGGTGGAAAAAAGTTTAGTATTCATGCATGACGTCCAAGTCAAGTGGATAGGACCTGGCCGTTATGAGATTGCCAAACCGAATACCGTAAAGAAAGAGCATGAGGACCACTGGAGGTTATTGCGTTCATGCGAAAAGGTGCACTTTGTTCAGAAAAGTGTTAGTTTAATTTTAACGCCGCCTAATTTACTGCAAACAGATAATATGATCACTTGTTGCAAAACTTGTATACGGTATGATATAATTATCAGGAAAAAGCTTCACACTATAATGCATCAATACAATCCTTTATTTACCCACCATAGACTCGAACACAGCTTAAAGTTAAATGCTATGATCTGCTACTACTCATATTAGCTTTTTTTATTCTAGGTTAACCATTTTTGGGATATCACCAACTTGGCACAAGCAGTTTGCCAGTCGTTAGTGAGTGATGCCCTGACTGTGGCTGATGTTAAAATACAGCCCAAGATGAGCAAAACCCAACAAGTGAAAATGCTGGCACTCTCACCAAAATCTCGTGTTGGTTGGGTGAACGACAAGGTTAGAATGTGATTGAAAATTCTTTTGAGAGTTTGTTACTGCCATTGACACAAAGTCTTCGAACAATGTTGATAGGTCTTGAGGTGACTAAAATATTTGACTGTCTCTTACACAGGTGATGAATGCAAGTTTAAAGACACTTGAAGATTCCAGTAAAAAGGCGAGCACCACAGTAGTCATATATACTATTTCTCTCTACTATGTTTAATGAAACAACGATTACAATTCCGTGCTATGTCTTCATATGTAGGGAGGGAAAATGCTGGCCGCAGATTCATTGCTGCTGGAAAAAATTCACAGCACAGAAATCGAAAAGTTACCCAAATGGAGGTGGATACAGAAGCTCAGTAATGTTGTGTTTCTATTTCTTTTTCATTCCTCGTTTAACTCGTGAATTGAAGTAGCAATTAAGATTTGAAGATTATTATTATTTTTATTGTGACTATTACGATTATTATTATTATCATCATCATAATTATTTACTTTGATGCCACTCTATATTTGGCACTGGACATGCACAGAAAAGTAAGCTCCGTTATTTTGTTCCATCTTACATTGCATGTACCCTCACCTGGAGGGAGATCTATATACAATATTTCAAGTTTGGAACGGACATATAAATGTGTCGAACCCAACGCAAAAATTGTCAAGGCAAGTTTTCCTTCCTTTTGCTCCATCTTTGATCAATACACTTTTGAAGACCTCACAAATGAACAGGAAATGTGCTCAAGAAAGCTGAGTGGAAAGAAATGGGTTTTAAAGTCTTAAAAGTTACAATCTCTCCAAGATACATTTGGACGATGAGGATTAGAATGCACAAAACAAACTATTCGGAATGAATGCTTTATGGTCTGGGGAAAAGGTAAGCTGCCCTCCT